CTCCTTTATCACAATGGCCAATTTAACCTTTGATAAGAAGGCTCAATAATAAGGATACTTACAATTATGATTAGCAGTGGTGGTAATTTTAGATACGTTGAGTTAGTTTACATCATAAAGAAACCTGGTCAATAGGTATAGCAATGGTAAGCCTAATTTTTAGTTAAAATGATATTCATATTTCACGCAAATAAACTTTGCTATGCTATTTGTTCTTCCTTTCAGTTTCTCTGACGACCTAACTAGCATTGGTGTCCACAATGACTCTGTCTGGCCGTCAGTGTTTAGCCGACCTGTCGCCATAGCTACATCCGGCACGACGTACCTCTCCGACTCTACTGATGAATACGCAGAATTCGGACAAACCGTTTGGGCATGTCGAGTGAACTCGATCGTTCGGGCTGGCAAGGCACACTTAAAGACACCTGCAACTGGCGAGCAAGCCTCTCGTCTGCTGTCCACTGCAGTCTTGCGTCCCTCCGTCTCATCTCGATTCTCCCCCAGTCTCGTGGGACAGGAGTCGCCAAGCCATTCGAATCCAGCTTCTTCTCACCTCACAGTCTCCAGGCAACTGGAACTCATGAATTCGGCATCTCTGACTGCACAGACAAGCGCCTTACTAACACAGACGCATGTGACAACACCCGATCGGCACACATCCCGACCCCCTCAAAGCCGAGCCTCATTTGCCCAGTCTCCGCGATTGCCGGAGCGCCGAACGATATGTCCACTCGGTCTCTGGCCCATAACTGGCTCGCCAGCGGTGGCCAGAAGGTATGAGGAGCATGAGTTATGCTGGCAGCGGCTACAAAAAAAGCTTTTTCCCAGCCAGGACTCACTTCACTTGCGAATTTACCCCCAGCCTCGCGAAGGACCTACAAACCTGGGCGATCCCGATCCGCCCCGAGGACATTCAGTCTTAAGAGACTCTCAAAAGCTCGACTCGCCTCGTCCACAGCAAAAGCTATCGCAGGTTTCAACAGATAAATGGCAAGACGAAGAAAGGGATGGGCTGATTAGGCAGAAAAACGAATCACTAGGCCAGCTTCACAATTGCTTATGGACCTCAAGTCCTGCAGGTCAGAACGCGCTGCCGGAACTGCAACAACAACAGCAACAAGAAGAAGAACTGGTCCAGACATCAGAAGGATCGCAGGATAAAAAAGCATCACCAAGACAACAGCATCTTCAAACAGACACCAGACAGGAAGGATCTGGAGTGTTCAAGCCGCCTCAACACCTACCGATCCACTCAACCGACCAGCCACAACTCAAGCCCCAGTCAGAATCTTCATTTCCACTTGTATCTAGATGCGGATCTCTTCAAGGGGAACATTTGCGTGAAGGCGAAGTCCCCTGTCTTCCCCACCAGAATATGCATGAGCAAAACTTTGCGATGCAGGCTACAGAGCAGTTGGGATTGGAGCAGACCAGATCAGTTAGTCCAAACCAACAACTGGAATGGCCGTTGCTTGCATTTTCATCAGGCAATTCGGAACATCCGTCTCAAGATCATGCGTTCCGCCAGAACGCTCGATCTTTCCGCCAGCAGATGAGCGAAATCCACCGCTCAGAAAGGCCACGGTCTGTACCAAGACAGCTATCACAACCGGACGCGTCGTTACAACTTGGCCTACCTCTTCTGTCCAACAGGGAGCTACAACTACAGTCAGGATGGCAAGAACGAAACTCATGGCAAAACCGGGGCTATACAGCCAAAGGGAAGGAAAGGCGAGGGTGCCAAATGCTAAGGCAACCAACTGGCCTGAGCAGACAGGAGCACATAGCGGTAGGCACACCTACAGCAAAGAGAATGCCCGAACAGCCCACACGATTAAGTTTTCACGATGCGGAAGAGGACGTTTCGCAGTGTCATGAAAACTATTTGCAGTCTGAACTTGTTGATGCCTTTCATGGTGAGCAGGAAGCACCACTAAGGTCACTACAACAACAACAGCACCACCACAGAAAAATGCAGAACCAACACTCGACGCCAGCTCGACTCTGGCTTCATACCGTCATGCAGGTGCTGTCACCGCAGCAGATCCTTCAAACGCTGGAAAGCCTTGAACAGATACGACTAGAAATGCTCCAGTTATACCACTTGGTCAGTAAATACGCACATATGCACTCATAATGACCCGAATTGGTTCCTTCATCTCCGCCTGCATAACAATGAAATCTAGGTGCCAGTTTGCTCGCGCCACGGCAGATGACAGTTTCTTATCACGAGTCAACCGCCAGTTTTTATTTGGTTTGACTCTGTGCCATTGGGTGTTTTGCATACATTTGCAGAGTATTAACTTACTACGGATGTCTGCCTGTCCCATCGTTTCCCTAAACACACGTTTCGGGAGAAAAAAGAGTGATTTGTATGTACGGAGAGTAACTGGGATTCTATGAATCTCTTTAGGTAACATTGGTGCAGAGACTTTCATTTAGTATAGAAGTGCAATGTGAAAGGATTCATAAGTGTATCCAACCGGAAGACTACATCTGCTTCATCCCTTTGGCTCGAATACGACGTTCAGAGTGACACAGTCCACGAGTCACTCTTGTTTCGCGCGAAAATTGAATAAGCCCACGTCCATCATGGCAATTTACGGATATCGTCGAAGCATAGATTTATTCTTGCAAAAGCTTGTAGAATAATGCTACCTTGAAGAGCTATTACTGATCGATGCATAATCAGGCTTATATCTCACTATCTTAATCATATTTACTTTCAGCCCTGTGCAATCTCGGTCGTGTTTTTTCTTGGGTGATTAAACCTTTATTACTCTGACAGATACACAGAGGCACATAATCCAGTATAATTAGATACGAATTGAAACTGGGTTTCGATGAATCTCTTGAGATAACATTGTTAGGGGACTTTATTTCGTGTGAAAGTGGATGAAGAAGAGATTCGTTGGTCGATATTACCAGATGAGGACGGATAAATCTCGTTGTACTGCAGCCGTTTAGCTTTTATACGATATTCATGTTGACGCAGTCCACGAGACTTCCTCCCTCGT